TTTGTTACCCAGAAAATAATCGATTTTATAGTTGAGTCTAGAAAATCATCTTATTTTCTATTTTGATTTATAAATTAACTTAATACCTGTATTTATTTACAGCTACATAATTAATTCTGTTTACATTAATATTTGGACTGCAATTGTTTTTTAAAAAAAAAGAGTAATTGTTGTTTTATTGATTATAATTTGCTCGGATAATTCTGAGTATTTATAGTTTGTATATTATGGACTTTTTGAAAATAAATCCAGTTATTTCTGTCATTCGGACCTTTTAATTAATGAAACTCATATCATTGAAAACAAATTATTAAACTGAATGCCAATACTTGAAACGTAGAATTCGTTACTTACGAATCACGATTCATAATATAGCAATTAGCAAATATGTACTCTTTATAGTATCTACTCCGGATTAGAACTAGAACGAACTCAATATTTTGAAACTTTCGAGGGGAATTCCTAATACGAGACATCAAGAATTAGAACGTTCTTGTTCCGTGCTTTGCAGACCCTAGAAAATATGGATTAACAATACAAAAAAAAATTATTGAACTGAATATCAATACTGTAAAGATCTTATATTGCTTTGGAGACCATAGCAGTATATGCTAAATTGCTAATTATACGCAAATAGTTTCATAATAGAAAATCAGCAAGCAAAGCTTGAGATAATCATACATAACATATATGCTAAATTGCTAATTATACGCAAATAGTTTAAAATCAGCAAGCAAATCATACATATAAATACGGCCAAAGTATTATTATAATCATACATATAAATACGGCCGAAGTATCAATGCCATATTGTCATTGTCTAACAATACAACAAATTGTTACTATATTGCTTATTATACACAAATAGTTTAATAATGGAAAATCAGCAAGCAAAGCTTGAGATAATCATAATTCATACGTAAAAATATTATCAATGCCATATTGCCATTGTCGCAGTGATTTAATTACTTAAGGAGCAGGAATGTTGTATCCGCCACGACCCAAGTTCTCTTCATAAGCACCTTTCTGTAGTGGTGGTGGAGTTTTCCGAGGAGGGCAGCGACGACATATCGGGCCAACTTCTACAACCGTGGTATCATTTTCTCCTACAGAGTACAACAGAATACACTTTGGTTAGGGATAATTATAAATTTATACTCGTAATTTTTTTTTTATTTTTTTTTCGACGTATAGTCGTAAATTGTAATTAATAAACCTAATGGACCAGTAGAGAAAACTGAACTCTAAATTTACGGCCCAAATGCATAATGAATGGCCCAAGTATGAGCGATACCACCCAATTTTGCACAATCATAGCTCAAAAATTCAAAATTGGGGCATGCAGTCTCGGGTGCAATATTCTATAGTTTTATTGTTATTGTTATCTAGTTCCAATAAAACATTCAAGTAAGCTGAATACACTCAATTTTCGGATGTCAACTATACTTTGTTATAACCAAAAGTAATACGTACTCTATATAACTATATTAGACTATTAGTTAGACCCTGGAGTTAATTACATGCCAAGCTTCAAATTGTTTCGTTTTAAATATCGGGTTAAGTCAGGCTAGGTCAGACAATATATGACTCACCTAGAGCGTTAGAGTTGATCAAAATTCGGACTGGGTCGGACCTTTTTAAGAAAACTTATGCTCAAACCCGGTAAAAAGTGTCGGGTTTATCGAGCTAGGTAGGGCTTTTTTTAACTAAAAATGTGTTTTTTGGCATGCTCAAACCCGCCCGCTTTTCGAGCAAATCGGGTCGGACTTGTGAGTCGATCCATAGTTGATCACTTCTAGACTCACTGAGCTAGGCTATCCCATATAATGGCCTGACTAATTGGGTCGAATAAAGTCGGGCTACACTTGATCAACTCTAGTGACCTCAAGATCCACAGTGATGATGATCAAATAATGCATGTACGTGAGCCTGCGTAACAAAATTGCATGAATTTTAGTTATGGAAGTTACAAAGATGAGGATTGTATTACCAGTGTGTTCAACAGATTTGGGATAATCTCGAGCGGAAACTACTATTGTATGGAAGACAAGAAATAGAAGGCAAAAACATAAGAGAGCTCTTGAATAAGCCATTTCCACGCATTCACTGTTTAATGGGCTGATAATGGCTTGGTATATTATAGAATATAGGGATCTCACGTTTATTTATAATCAAAGAGTAGTGAAAAAAATCCGTATAAGACAAACAAATTTTGTACAAGTTTGAAAAAATGGTATTAGTGTAACAATAAGTCAATAATTCTATCTTTCTTTCAAAAAAAAAAAGTCAATAATCCATCTATCCCAAAAATAGTGACATTGCTTCTTCTCTTTGAATTACTATTAGTCAAAAATTTAAATCACGTGTCAATCAATAATTATATATTAAAAGACACACCAACAATGACACGTGTTATCTCTTAGTTAGGGATGACAGTGGGTTGGATTAAATGGAAGACCCACTCCATCACCGCCCAAGTGGGGCGGGGATGGAGGGAGGTTTGGCAGGTGATGAGGTGGGGATGGGTATAAAATGTGTACCTGTCATGGGTGATGGGGCGGGTATGGATTTTAGAGTAGACCCGCCCCATATCCGCCCCGCCCCGTACCTATCTTACACCTGCACCATATTTCTTTTAAAAGAGTTTATGATTTATGAAACTTGATACCCTCTAAGACCCAATAAGTTTTTTGATATAATTGTCATTAATGTGATACAATAGAGCATCATGGCAATGGGTTTGAGACGACTTTGGGGCAAGTATGAGGTGGGTATGAATATCTAAGTGGGTGATGGGGCGGGGATGGATCCTATCTTGTACCCGGTGGGGCGGGTATGGATGTGGATATTGTACCCGCCACGGGTGGTGGGGCGGAGATGGGTATAAGATTTTTAGGCGGGCATGGGTATGGAGGTACCATCATCCGCATCCGACCCGCCCCATTGCGATCCCTACTTCTAGTGTGTCCTTAGTAGTTTTTTTTATATAGGTTAATAGCAAAGATAATTTCTTTAAATAAAAAAGATTTGATATACCTTTCCATACAAACATTTATGACTTCACAAAATTTTATATGCGGCTGACCGCACCGTACGGCCAACCACATTTTTTTTATTTTTTTATTTTCTCTATCCTCTCTCTCTCCTCTTCCTTCCTCTTCCTTCCTCCATTTTCTCTTCCTAACTTTCTCTCTCTAACCATCAATGGTCGTGCTAGGTCATCCACCGCCGTCGTGTTCGTCGTCTTCGTCCAGATCTCCTCGAAGCTCCAAGCCAGCCACCTCAGCTCCGTCGTCGTCTTCTCCTCATCCGTCGCTGTCGTGTTTGTCATCTTCGTCAGATCTCCTCGAAGCTCCAAGCAAGCCACCTCAGCTCCGTCGTCGTCCTCTCCTCCTAACTTTCTCTATCTTCCTTTAACTTTCACTATGCTAATATCCTTCTGCTCGAATTGATCTTTCACTTTCACTCTGCCGTCGTGTTCCTTTCACTTTCATTTTGTTAATTGATCTTGATTTGGTAATTTATTTATTGATCTTATGTATTGTGCTCGTTTTGTTGAAGAATTTGATGCTCATTTTTCCAGAATTTTCACTTTTTTGGTTGCCTTTTGTATTAGATGTTTAAATTTAAGTGCTAGAGGCAGGTTGCAACGTGGCGTGGGTTAGGGGCTGGCTGGTGGTGTGGGTTAGGGGCTGGCTGGTGGTGTGGTGTTTGGGGCTGGGGCGGCTAGTGGCGTGGGGTGGTGGTGTGAGGCAGTGATTTGTTTGATCAGGGGTTACTAGGTAGGGGTCGTTACTAAGGGTTACTAGGTCGGTTAGGGGTTACTAGGGGTTGTTACTAAGGGTTACTAGGTCGGTTAGGAGTTACTAGCTAGGTTGGTCAAAGGGTTAGTAGGTCAGTTAGGGGTTACTAGGTCGGTTAGGGGTTACTAGGTTGGTCAAGGGTTACTAGGTCGGTTAGGGGTTACTAGGTTGGTCAAGGGTTACTAGGTCGATCAGGGGTTACTAAGGGTTACTTGGGGTTACTAGGTCGGTTAGAGGTTACTAGGTCGGGGTTACTAGGGGTTACTTTGTCAGGGGTTACTAAGTCAGTCAAGGGTTACTTTGTTTGGGAGGTTACTAGAGGGGTTACTTGGTCAGAAGTTACTAAGTCAGTCAAGGGTTACTTTGTCTGGGAGGTTACTAGAGGGGTTACTTAAGTGTGGTTACTAGAGGGGTTACTGATATGACACCTTGCCGCACCGTGTGGCCAGCCACACCAGAAACGCACTGTTATGACTTTAATACGGAGTAGAAGAAATGAACATAATTTACTGTAAGAAAAAATATTCATATTTTTCCCCTAATAAAAATAGGGGGTATATTTATTAATTAGAATTCACATTAAAGTAGTGTGTATATTTATTAATTTTTTTTTTTGTGTGTGTGTAAAATAACAATTTATATTGAAAAGTTGCTACTATTTTTTTAAAATAATCGTGCATGGCACGGGACTTAAACTAGTATGGCTTTAAAGTTGAAACTATGGGTCTGTTCTCTTACGTTTAAATTCAGTTCAGCTTAGTTCAGTTCAGCTCCTAATTTTCTTCTCTTATAAAATATTCAGTTCAGCTCAGATCAGCTCAATTCAGTTCAGCTGAGTTCAGTCAATGAGAACAGGCCCGTTGTAATATATTGGAGAAGGAGGCGAAAATCTCCACGTTATAGAATAGTTTTTTTGGTGTTTAAAGAGCCACAAGGGCGGGGTGAGAATCTTCTCAGAATCTTTTCAAAATCTCATGGGATCGACAGGGAAGTTCTAATCACTTGAGCTAACCCTTACTCTCCCACATTATAGAATAGTGATTCTTATAATTACTAGTTTAACCAAAATGTGACCGCAAGACAAGATTTGATGCAAGCTTACAAAATATACGTATATGGCTTTAAAAAGGTGACAATGTTGAATGGCATGATAAGAATTGTTCTTTATATACACAATAATTTATGTATATGTTTAAATTAACAAATTTAGATTGTCAATTTTCAATTATAAACTGAATCATAAATGTTAGTACATAGCAACATATGTTTTTTTTGTTTTTTTTTTTTTTTTTTTTGAAAGCATTATTCTGTACTTAGTACATAGCAACATACTAGTATTCGACTTTACTCATACTTTAACTATCAACGAAATCTATTATCTTTCCTTAAAAAAACAAAAGGAAACTATTATAGGGTAGGAATGTTACTTAACGCATAGACAGGCACCACTGGTCTTTATCCGCCAAGATCCATCAGCTTTACCATGAAATCAAGATCTAAATTGTCATCAATGGGGTAATATGAGCTGCGTGGGATAATTCAATGTATCATAACCATCAACACCTAGAAATAAATTGGATGTCGAAGGAGACGTTACTTTTGCCAAACATAACTTTGCAAATGGCTTGAAACGGGTTCCCTTAACGTTTTCAAACAGTGTTATAAGTCATAGAAATGACTCGAATGAGTAAGCAGCTGATGGAGCAAGTAGATGAGCTGGCGAAATGTACCTGTTCACTTAAAATTCGAAAAGACCACTAGATTGACATTTCCGATAATAGATCAACTAAGACTAGCTAGATACGGAGTATATTAATAAATCAAATGAATTCAATAAATCTATTGCATAGTAGTTCACACCTGCTATAAGCATGTTTTGGCCTTATCCGTGATTCCTAACTTAAACTTATGAGCTACTCGTATAACTTTTTGCTCAACGTGTCTTTAGCTCTTTCTTTCACCATAGTCTGCACAAAGAGCTCTCCTGCTCGATATGATGAGCGTACCTACAAGGGAGGAAATAAAGAGAATCAAAATTCGTACACTCCAGGTGCCGCCCCCATAACATTCATTATCAGCATAATAATAATATTAGGTCAGATAAAAAATATTACACTTAGAAAAATGGATGGAGCATGTTTATGGTTCAAATGTTCAATAGATAAGAGTCTAAAATGACAGAATGACCAAGTAATCAAAGTGTTATCTCTAATAGATCTCTTATATTTTATTTATTATAAATATCATGATGGAAACATAATTAATTTAAGTTTCAAAGGGCGTTCAGAAATTCCATGAGGTTGTGGAGGCACATGACTAGCTTGAACACTACAGATTTTAGCAGTCCAAACAATTTAAGAACTCTTCGAACTTTCAGCAATATATGAGATAGAACTCAAAAGTACTCATCTTAATATTCAAATAAAACAGGGTAATATGCTTACAAGTGGGCCACTAGCAACATAGCGAAAACCTAAAGCTTCTCCATATTCCTTCCAAAAAGCAAATTTCTGAGGAGTAACATACTCTTTAACTGTGAGGTGCAATGGTGTTGGCTGCAAGGAAAAAAAAAAAGTTGAATAGCTTAAGTTCTCAAAGAACTGGTATAGCAGATAAAATTTCATGAAGGTAAGTAAAATTGGGATAAATATAACGTTTAAGTTGAACTTGGTGAGTACAAAAAATCAAAGCACAACACAAAGCCAATAAATTCGGAACCTGTAAATATTGTCCAAGTGTCAGAATGTCAACATCAATGGCTCGAAGATCAGCCATGGCTTCCTTTAATTCCTCATCTGTTTCCCCAAGCCCTAGCATGATAGAAGTTTTTGTGATCATCCCATCCTTGCTAAATTTTGCATGTTTGAGTACAGACATGCTCTGCTGGTACCTGCACATCAACTAAAAATCTAAAATCACTATAACAAGGTATATCACATATGTATGTGCCATGGACAAACATTTTGGTTTAAGGTATGACCATAACAAAATGTTCTCTTACAAAATCAATTAGATCATTAAAAATTGAAGAATCACACCATACTACCTACAACACAGATAATTCTGCTATTAGAAAACAGTGAGACTATGAGGAGTCCAAACTTGTTGGTTTAAGCTAGGTTTTTATAAGCCATTTCTCCAAGATTTCAAGTCTATTGGTTTGACACTTAAAAGAAAACCATGTTTGGTCTCATCACATTATCGGAAAAGGCAAACTATAGTTCCTGTACTTGCAGCAGGTCTGTTGCCAATCAGGTTCATTTTCCAATAGTCACATCCAATAAGTTTAAAGCAAAATGATTTAAAGGCCCACCATACTACGGTACTACCCATACAATTATGCAAGATATGCATTTAAAAGAGAGGCAATACTAGTATGTTGATACTAAATTGCAACAAAGAAATAAAAAAACTGACCCTGCTCGAGGATCTCTAACTATTCTCTGAAGCCGCTTGACAGTTTCAATGTTGTGAGCAAAAACATCTAATCCCGAGTGCACCAAAGTATCCACAGCCTTCAAGTCTCCCCTAAAATCAGAAGTCAAACATTCAACCATGATTTCAGGCTTGAGTGTCTGCACAATCAAATGTTTCCTCATCAAGCATCTTTTCTCTCTTGGTAATTGACATGGTTATAATTTAAGAGAACTGAAGAAAGGTCCACAATAAGCTACTAAAAAGTTCCACCTACCTTCATGGCTTTGACTGTTTGAGCAAAATGGCCACTTCCACCATCAAGCAAATCATCCCGATCAACACTAGTTAGAACGATGTAATCAACACTACAATGTAAATGCCCAAAGGATATCAGTACATAGATCAAAACATTTAGAGCTCAGATATGAATATATATAAGCAAACTGAAATCAATGTTCTTAAAATGAGCCTACTCTTTACCAAAGCATAAATTTTTTCCATGAAAAGGTTCTAAAGTGATTCAGACGTTGGCATCCTTACTCCAGACCAGCTGATCTATATTTACAGAGGGGCAATTGTCCTACAACACATCATACATCTTCCTCCTTATATATAAACCCAAATTTGATAGGTATGAGAAACATATGTTTTAAAAAAATCAAGCATCAGGCTGCACTGCTTATGAGAGATTTTCATGGAATGATCTTACAGTGCCAATATGCTAAGAGCTCCAAGCTAAAGATGTGGTGTTTAAAAATAATAATTATAAAAAAAAATAAAAAAAATAAACAGTTAAGGCACTTTTAGAGAGATCTTCAATGGGAGATGGCAAAAAGAGAGTTTGACAAAAAGCATACAAAAATACATACTTCTCTACATTGATGGAGCTTCTACAAGTGCATGTCAATCAGAAGAGCCCTAATTTAATGAAGACGTTGATGCTTTAAATGTCATTCAAAATCCTAATATACTTTAGACAAATCAACAAGTTTCCAAATCCTAAGTCTTCTAACCTTAATCTTATATTCTTTCATTGCTATAATCGTTAATGAGAACTAATTAAAGCTTGTTGGAATTCCTTGAACTTTATTGGTAACTTCTACTCTTAGGTTTGGATTTCCAACTGAAAAAAGGACTAACTCTACATATAGTGAGGGTTCCTTCAGGTATGCATTACTAGGCTTTAAATTTTGCCTTTTGTAAGCCCTATATTGTCAAGGGCTATTTAATCAAGCACCCCAAGGAACACTTTTTTTGGTGAAACATTTACCTTCAAATCATAATAATTAATAAATGAAACAATAACAATTTTTAGTGCTTACATATACCAAAAGGCACAATGTAATGCAAAAAGAAAGTAAGGGGACAGGAATTGAATAAACTAATAAGAAATTTACCACACAAAAAAAAGTGTATTATACATACCCCCAGCTTACAACAGCGGAAGCAGTATTCTCTGGTTCCATTGGATCAGGTGGCGCAGGATTTTTGCTAGTTTTAACAGCACAAAATCTACAACCACGAGTGCAGGTATCACCAAGAACCATGATTGTGGCAGTTGCAATTCCATCTCCACCTCCATTCCAACACTGTAATGTAAATTTCAGATAGATGGTAAATGATCTTAATACTTCATGTGCTAATAAACCCCTGGAGAAATTTAAAGACTATACTTCTAACTACACTCATCATTCCCTAAGCAACATTATTTCCCAATTTTATAAAGTAAATTCTAGTAGGATTAGTTTTTAAATTAGATCTTCGTATGCCATGAATATATAAATAATTTAATGCAACAACAAACAATTTGGCATGAAGCAACAATATCCTACAGTTCTTGGACTCATCGTTTAAACTTAAGAACCCATGTCGGATCCTCCAGACATCGACAGGAGCAGGACACTTCAACCCTTTATTTTCAGCCAAAATAATGAAAAATTTTCAAATAGCAAACACTTGGACATGTTACCTGAGCCAAACTCTCCTTTCCCAAGATTACCATACAGTCACAGATAATCATCGAAAAAGTAACAAAAAAAACTACCTCTCCAATGTTGGGGCACTGGGCTTCCTCACAAACAGTGTGGAGATTTAAGCGAGAAAGAGACTCTTTCACCTCCTTGAATTTCTTCCCCTGAGGAGCTTTCTGCCTCAACCAATTCGGTTTCGATACATTTGGGTCTCTCCCTGTGTAGGATCCCATTCCTCCTGTATAAGGACCCAATTTCAACTTTGTCGTCTCCTCAGATTCTGGCAAGTCTGCACTTATGGCCATTCCAGATGAAGTACTCAGCTTCGACGTAACTTTGCACCTTATTTTAGATGGTTTGTAACAGGCCCGTCCCTGAGCCAGGCCAGGAGGGGCAATCGCCCTCGGCCTAGAGAGAAAATGTCTAATTTCTAGTTCCATCAGAAAATTAATGACTCTGCAACTCATTAGCAACCAAATATGATTCAATTATCAAATTAAGCTCAAAAAATCACATAAAAAATTTTAGGAATAAAATGTCTAATTTCTAGTTACATCACAACATTAATTAGTTCTGCAACACATCAGCAATCAAATATGATTCAATTATCAATTTATGCTCAAAAAATCACATACTACGTAATAAATTTTAGGAATAAAATGTCTAATTTCTAGTTACATCACAACATCAATTAATTCTGCAACACATCATCAACTTTCTAGTTACATCACGACATCAATTAGTTCTGCAACACATCATCAACCAAATATGATTCAATTATCAAATTATGTTCGAAAATTCACATAGTAATTTCAGGGATAAAATGTCTAATTTCTAGTTGCATCACAACACTAATTAGTTCAGCAACACATTAGCATCCAAATATGATTCAAGTATCAAATAAAGCTCGAAAAATCACATAATTTTAGGGATAAAATGTGTAATTTCATAACAACATAAACGAGTTCTGAAATACATTAGCAACAAAATATGATTCAATTATCAAATTACGGTCGAAATATCACATAATTTCTACCCTAAGTGTGTAATTAATTACATTACATAACAGAAATAAGATTGGTTAAAACATGTAATACTCGTTATTACCTTAGTAAATTGAAGTAATGAGTGTTCCTGTCAAAAAAAAAAAAAAAAAAAAAAAAAAAAAAGAGTAATGAGTATTGCCGAAAGCTTCAGGTGATGAAGGTGCTGAGTTTTGCTGGAGGAAGACGGTAAATATGGCTGTGTAGAAGAATACAAGTAGTTTTTATTATTGTTTGTCAAAAAAAAAAAAAGTAGTTTTTATTATTATTATTATTATTTTGGGTTTTTTACATTATACCCTTTTAAATCCAAAGTTCTACAAGGTGCCCTTGAAACTTGAGTATTTGGGTTTTTCTACATGGTACCCTTGAGACTTGAGTTATAAAATAAATAACTCTAACATAATTTGACTCAAATCGACACTATCTAAATGATCTACTTATCACTTCTATATTTATAATAGACGGAGGAATCACCAATCTTCATTATTCGCTATTTAGTGAAACTTTTGTATGATTATTTGAGATGAAAGATAGGAACTCTTTTTTGCTCCTACTTAACTAAAAGAGCTTGTTATAGAGGGGACTCAAGCTGTTAGTCCTTTTTTTTTGCAATAAACATGCTATTGGTGTCTTTGAGGCAGCTAAATAAGTAATTTAGATGGTGTTGGTTTGAGTGAAATTAATTTAGAGTCATTTATTTTACTACTCAAGGGTACCATATAGAAAAATCCAAAAACTCAAGGGTATAATACAAAATAAACTACTCGTAATAACTTAAGGTCACCTTATAGAAAGTTGAATTTAGGAGGGTACCATGTAGAAAAACCCTTTTTTTTTTTACTACTCCCTTTGTTTTTAAATATTTGCTTCACTTTTCATTTGCGAAGTTGTGGAAGAAGAATAGGAATTATTTTTTAAAAAAAAAAATATTAATTTGCGCATTGAAAAATGTTCTATTTAAGGTTTTGGGGGCTATTTTAATTAGTCTTTAAGGGTCCAAATTGAGTTCAAATTTGGCAAAAATATAACTTAACTTTTTCAAATACACCATATACTCATGAGTTATTACTAAAATGTACTATATACCCTTAATACAACAAGATAAATGGAGTTTGATTAATTATGCCGCCACAAAATCACCCCAAACCCTTCCCCTACCATCGAAATCATCCCTTCTCTTCCCTAACCCTTGAAACCACCCCAAATATCCAGAATCTGAGAATCATATATATCCATATGATTGGTTTTGGGGTGGGGAAAGGAGATCTAGGGTGGTTTATTTTGTGGGTAGGGCAAGGAAAGGTAGTTTGTTTCGAGCTGAGGGTGGGGGAAGGAGTCTGGGATGGTTTCAAGGCATAAGTAATTCTAAAAACTAAAAGAGCTTACATTTTTTAGTCGCTAAGGATAACATTTGGTGCATTTATGAGAAAAATCAGAGATACATGGTGTATTTTAAAAAGTCCAAGGGTATGTACATGGTTAATAAACAAAAAAAACTCGGGGATATATGATGAAAACATCGTATTTTATATAAGAGAGAATTAATAAGGTGTTATATATATGGATATCATCTCTATATGTAACACCTTGCTAATAATTCTCTTTTAGTTGAGGATCCACTTCATCATATATGGCCAAGTTCTCCACCATTATGGACCTGGAACCTTAGTGGGAATAATTGTATGTGCCTCGGTGAATCTTAGCAAACCAAGCTCTTCATCATCATTAGTCATAATTCAACGTACATAATTACAAGTAACATACATTTTTACAAAATTTACAGAAACGTCAACAACATCTGAAAGCCCCCTAATGATTTACACCATGCTTCACTTTTGATTGCTGCAATTTTTTGTATGTACCATAATCCTAGACGTATTCATAAGATGGTTTGCTAAGGTAGGAGGAAAAAAAAAAAAAAAAAGGACAACACATTACATATATAGAACTAGTAATATGTCCCTCAAAAAAAAAAAAAATCCCTAGTAATATGTACTACTACGTACATACTATCTATGCAACCTTAAGAATTTGATGTTGGTTAGGATCGATAGTGATCACCTGGCTACACATGGTCTGACCACCCTTGTAGAGGCAAGCAACCGTAACATTACTAACATGGTCGATGTACTTGCCTTGTCCATCAAGAGGTCCGTCTTGTGACGAAGGTCGTAGCCTCCACAACCCAAACCCCTTTCTTCCTTGGCTCGCCGGTGCTGGCATTCTCAACTAATAACGCTAACTCTTTAGCTCTTTAATTTGTGTGTGTTTTCTTCCAAAGTGCCAAGATATACCAAGGTTTAGAGCATTTTACTCCTTTTATAGTAGGTGAAGATTATTCCATGGACTAGACTAGACTAGACTTGCTTGATTCTTACAAAAGTATAAATAAGATATGCTAATAATTTTAGATTCCAGAAAATGAAATAAATAATTATTATGAAGTTTCTAATATTGATTTATCTTGATTTGAACTACTCACTCCCTTACTTTTTGCAAATTCGTAATATGCTCTTGAGATTACCCAAATCAACACTTTTGTTCATTAAATTGTTGACTGTTTAAAGACGACATTTGGCCATCATCCATTGACGTAATGGTGTAGGAGTAAGAGCATCATAAGTATCATTAATTTTATTTATTTAGATATTTTCATGTAGCACCAAGCTAATTAAGGGTCTGTTTGCATTACTAAATTGAGTTGAACTGAACTGATTGGAGCTGAAATGAACTGAACTGAACTGAGCTGAAATGAATATTTTATGAGAGAGGGAAATTAGAAACTGAACTGAACTGATTGTAGCTGAATTACTGAACTGGACTGATTATAGCTGAACTGAATTGAAATTAAGTAAATGTGAACGAGACCTGAGTTAATCTTAATCCAAGAGTATTTTATAATATGTCATGCACTCATGCATCATTGTTGTGTTATGTGTCCAAGCAACAATGCAACGGGCCAAGAAAAAAATCTTGGACTAAGATAGAATTTTTCAATAGGATCAAAGTGCAACACAATAACTCATAACAATAAAATAGTATTCATAAAGGGATTCCAAATTCGGAATGAAAGAATTTTGATGTCTCCTTAATCTTACTTTCATGGCCAATTCACTCCCGAAGGGCTACAAAAGCTTACTCAAGTTGTAAAACTTTGGACCAATTGTCAATTTAAGCATCTTTTTTCTCTAGAACTCTTTGGCTTAAATTTTACCTAGTAGTCCATTAGATATTGGAGAATATATTCTTGTACATCGACTTCTGACTTTAGGCTGGATAAACACGTATGTTATAGCATATGTTCTCCTAGTAATTAATGTCTTAATCATCAACTACAAATTTACAAACGATTAGTACAGTTTATTTACCAAGCTTGGATTGCTTTAATATTGCCACATCTTGGAGATATGGTTGGTTGGTTGATTATTGTTATTGATAGAGTATAAAATAAATTATGTTATTTCGATCACTCCCCCTCAAACAAATTATACTCTATCAGTTATATCCTCACAAATACTACGAATTATTTATATTATTAGTGACTGTTTTACAAATTATTAAAATAAAAATGTTCAATGCCTATAAAGTCCCGTTAGTAAGAATAATTTTAATTCAACATAAATAATTTCATTTCAGTAAAAATAATTTTAATTCAGTTAAAAATAATTATAATAAAAATCGCTAAAAATAAATTCAGAAAAAATAATTTTAATTAAACAAAATTAATTTAAATTTAGTATCGTAAAAAATAAGGTGATTTGAACGGAACCTAATGTATTCACACTCAATAAAGGCCAAAGGGCAATCTTGAGATGAGACAAATTATGAAATGAATAATGAATTTGGAAACGGTAGGGGAGTAGGTTAAGATGCTTTGCTTTTCCTAAAGATTTGGTACCAACATTACAACTTTCTAAAATGAATCAAGGTCTTCAAGGCCTAATACAGTAATACGATTATTCTTGATCATGTCGATTTATTATTATCGAAAGCGTTAGTATAGATCGAAAGATTCGAAACTATTGAACAGCACTTTGTTTACTAAAAAAACACTTGAATGGAATTAAAAATTCCTATAAAGGTGAATATGATCTAGCTATTTAATTAATGCAAATTTAATTATTATACTATGGATATTTCCTGCTGCATGCTAGTAGAGAATGAATTCGAAGCAAACTAAGAGAATCACAAGTGAATTTTTGAGTTGAGAGTAAATGGAGAAGGTAAGGGAATTCACTACTTCCAAGCAACTGCAGGATAATGGAGTTTGAAATTGTGATATCAAAGTCACAAAGTGAGTTACTCACCACTTTCAGTCCTCCACCAAGCATGTTTGGTTATTTAATTTATTACTAGTTATATGCATACTTCGTATATAATTAACCCTCATAATTTAAACTATATGTAAGAGATGTTCTACTTATGATAAGTATTAACAACTTATTTTTTTTATATGTTAGTAGAATGTTATTGTGTGAAGTAAAAATTCATAAAATCATTAACTTCTTTTATAGATTGTACAAAAGAAAATTCTAATAGCTTCAAGAAAAAAATTGAAACCTATCTATAGACTATAGTAAAGGCCTTATTTCAATCCCTTCAACAATAAGGCCACCCATCAAATGATGCCCTTTAATCTCCTTCATACTCATCTTCACAACCTTACCATCTCTACAAGAGTCACCAGACTCACCATAAAAGAAGTGTCCTAACTCGATTTCCATCCATCCATCACCGCGTGCACCTGGAAGTTTTAAATTACTATCCTCCGACCCATGATTGACCCTTGATGCAAGAATTTCCGTTCGATTATAGTATATTAACCATTGCATTTGATGCTTCTTTCCTTCATCTTGGCGAAGATACACAGTATTATGGCTCACCACATCACTACCCACTTCAATTGATACTTCCATAGGCATTATTTCCAACCCATATGCACGTTTAGACACTTTGAAAATTAGATATGCTCCATAAGTTGTGTTTGGTGATAGCATATTAAGTTTCAAATAACCTTGGATATCTAACCATGATGTGGTTCTTAGTTCCGCGCTTTCCTTGAACCTGAAATTAAGAAAACACATAAGCAAGATATAAGATTAAATCTCGTTTACAACTCTATTTCATTAAAACTTTTGACGAGAATGGACTAGAGATAATAAACCTTGATTGAGGAGTGTGTTTCCAGGCCCAATAAATTGGGTCATCAGCCCATGCAATTGACAGATCTCTTGCTGATAATACATAAGATTTGAGTCCAGTAATCTTGTCTAAATTAAAAATCTGCATGGCAGCTTGTCATATGTTAGCTAGACATATTATAAAAAACAATAATTTACTTTTGGTTAAAATTAATTTGAATTCACAAATATTTTTTACATAAACTGATAAGATGAATTGACGTTACATAACATGCATTAGTGCTTGACATTTTGACAAACCATTTACAAGTTTACAGCTGCCTAAATATTATAATCACGAAAGTGTCATAAATTATGATTGATAACTAATTATATGAACATATGACAATATGGCAAATTTTCAGAAGCATATAGGGTATATGTAAAAAATAGATTTATAGGAACAAACAAACATGAAGGCTTTATTATCTTCCCTTTATTCACTTTTTGAGTTTTTCAGATAACTCATATCAGATAAATGGACTAAACTAATAAATTGGGCTAAAATAAAGGCTAATAAGAAGTTCAAAACCATTAAGGTAAGTGAATTTTGGATGAAAATAACATTAAGGTTCTTTTATTTAAAATAAATGAAGCACATTAACTTAACAATATGGCCATTAAAAAAACAAAAACAATATGGGCCATATGTACCGGCCACTCTTGCTTGTCCACAAATAGGCCGACTATATTTCTTTGGTTATTTAATGGTAAAGAGAAGGCCCAACTTAAGAGTAGTGATTCTAGAAAAAACCTAACTAAAATGAGTTTGGTGAAATTCGACTCTTGACCTCATGCTTAAAAGTCGAAAAACTAGCCAATTAGTCTAGTTATTTATCTCATCCATTCTATATTGTACTTGAGATATATAGAAAATATATATTCCTATGATATTATATTATTATACTTCATCCGTTTTCTCTTACTTAATCTAGTTTGACTTTTACACTATTCATAAATATACCTTTGACTTTCTTTTTGTGATTATAGAGTATGAAAGAAATATATAAAAATATTGTCATCATATAGGATTTGTTTGAATCATCTCAAAATCCTTGCCTAACACATTATCTAATTGGTACGGAGTATGATTTTACTTATGATGGATTGAAAATGTTAATGATTAAATTTATATATTAACAAGTGTAATAAACAGACGTAGTATAAAATCCATCATATAAAGGTATATCCAGCTCTAAGTGAGCAACTTATATTATGAGTAAAAAAAACAAGTAAACCGAGAATAATCATGTACTAGTACTTATCATTTATCATGTATATGATGTATGCACCTAAATAGGCTAAATTAAGGCACATTTTAACCATAGAATGTATTTAAAATAGACACTCAAATGTAGGTAGGGTTAACAAGTAAGATATGGATAAGGTAATTGTTTCTTAACTGACCTTGTTACCACCATCTATGAGAAGAGAGTTGCAAAGCAAAAAGAACAACTCTTTTTTTGAATCCCACTTAAGCAATTCCGGACCAGCCCTTGAAACTATCTCATGGTAATCTGATGGTAGGAAGCTCTCCCATACACAATCCAACTGAGCCACTGACCGGAGCTCGGAACACACCGCCGTAGACCGGCAAACATCCCATGGAGAGGAAAGGGAAAGAATTGTAGAGACACAATCTTCAGGCAGCTCATTTAAGCTCATCATCTTCATATTATGTTACACAATCTATTATATATCCAAAAACTATGAATTATATACAAAATAATAATGTAACTATATACTATAGTTTAATTTGTGCATTATTCAATTTATGTGTGCCTAAGCTATTTGATTCAAATAAATCTGCTTGCCTTAGCTTGTTTAAGACAAGCTGATTTTATTTTATATAATTTTTTTTTCAGTTTTCTCCATGTGCATAAAATGTAAAGTGGGGTAGTTTGATAGAAACTTGAGTGGCCAACTTGCATCATGCAGCTAAGTTTTGATGATATATTTGCATGGAGTATAAAAGTATTGTACAACGTAAATAATACGATTGCGAAGTTTTCCTCTAGCTAGACATCGACCCTTGTTGATTTATTATGACACATGCCTACGTGTACAAACGCATAAAGTTATTGACTTTTGTTTTAGGTGATCATATACATATAAATTATACCAAATTACGAGTATCAATTAAGCAATAAGGTGTTGGTTCATTTGGTAGACCTTTTACCTTAGATCTTCAAAATACGTTATTTGTTCCAAAAAAAATAAAAATAAAAATAAATTAGAGTTTAATTAAAGGAGTATTTAGTTAATTAACCTTAAGCATTTTCCTCTCCCAAATAATAAATAATAATGATAATAAATTGATTGGAAAATAAAGAAAAAAAATCTGGTAGTTAGTTTTATACTTTTGACTCATAAAGCCATAAAGGCCTATTGTATCTATATGACAAACTTTAAGTCATTTTCATTTAAATTTATGTACTTGGACTAGTTTATTATTCTCATACTAATGCACGTAATAATGTAATAATAATAAAATTATATATAATAACGATGTGTATTTAATTCTTGCACATACTTCCTTCCAATCTTTACCTTAAGATATCAAGATTTAAACAATTTGTTTGATTAGAAATACATAAATACTTTTAATTTGTAGCACCTTGCTTACATATGAGCAACTCCAATCATATCGTAAACAACTAAACAACGACAATTAGTTGTAATTAAAATTAAAGAGACCTCAATTGAAGAGTTTGAGAGTTTGATTACAATCAAGCCGATCAGTAATAGTATTTTCTTTACCCATTGGCAAACTAAAATCACAATTTAATTTGTCTATAAACATAACAATAGAAAGTAGTATGTGTAAAGCAATTTGCAACTAATCAAACCACAAAATAATTTTGTAGTAATATTAAATATGGAGTGCAAAGTATATTATGCAATTCTTTAAATACATGTGAAAAAAACCTGATTAAAGAATTTCTCTATTAAATAATAAAATCTTGCGTTTATGAATTTTATGACGAATTTTGCAAGTAACAACATCTAAATATTATTTTAAACGTTAATATGTATATATAAAATAAAATATATATATATATATATATATATATATATATATATATGTACGTACAAATACATTTTATAAATTACTCCACATGAAATGAAAAAAAAAAAGGAAAGTAAATATGAGTAATGTTAATGAACAAGCTTACCTATGATTATTATTCTTCAAGCCTTCCCTTTTGCTTGTACTCGTAGATCATGCATGAATGACTTGATTATTGATTATTGTTAGTTGTAGGAATTGCAGCCGTTGACAATTTAACAAATAATAATGGATGTTTGAATGTTTGAAACACGCAACATATTGTACTTAATTGATAATAATGTTGTATTAGTTTGAATGTTTAACGGAACCTAAATATAAAATAATTGCCTAATTTTTTTTATATGGGTAGATGGTACATCTTATGATGAGCTCTTTTGGTATACATTTGATGAAATCATGTTGTCATATGACGACATTGATTTTTAAGTACCATTACTACCATGCATCACAAATTCACAATGGATGATAATTACGCAATCAATCATGCCCATTCAAACTCAAAACTTTTTTTAAATCATATGAGATCCCACTACCGGGCAATATCTTTGTTTTTTACAAGATTTAGGATATGTTCACATTTACTTAATTTCATTTCAATTCAGTTCAGCTCCGATCAGTTCAGTTCAATTTAACTCCTAATTTCCCTCTCTCATAAAATATTCATTTCAGCTCAGTTCAATTCATTTCAACTCCAAGCAGTTCAGTTTAGCTCTAATCAGTTTAGTTTAATTCAGTTTAGTAAATGTGAACAGACTCTTATTATCTCATAGATCTACCAAATTAAATGCACAATTTTTTGATAAATACTCCCTCCGTCCTTTTATTATAGTTGTTTACTGTTCCTTTTTTGGCAAATCAAAATTAAACTTCCATTGTTAGAATCATTTCTTTTTTAATAAGTGATTTTTTACAAATTTAACCTCATTCTCCTCATTTAATCTCAAAATTATCCTCAATTCTTACTGATTTTTTGTGCCAGCAAATATTAATCCACCAACATGTACTCTCTCCCCTCATTCTTCTTCTTCTTCTTTTTGGAATTTATTAACCTCTTTTTTCTTTTTCCACTTGTTATTTAATGCACTTAATATATTTTGATACTTTCAATCACAGGGTTTAAGAAATATAAAAAAAATCTTAATTCACGTGAAAAATGAGAGATGAGATTCTAATAAAGGATGGAGGGAGTATTACGCAAAGTGTGTAAGAACCTTCAAATTAAATTTAAATTTATTGAGATTATACATTACTCCCTCCGTCCCTTATGGTCAAATTTAAGATCCAAAATGATAGTCCTATAACTCCCGTTTGCCTTTTCCAAGTACTATTAATACGAAATATTAATTTATTTATTTATTTTAGCAAAATACCCTTCAATTTGCAATAATTTTTGTGCAAATTTAGCTTCCCTATGTAAAATTTGAATTTTTATAGTACATTTATTATGTTATCTCTCTACTTTTTTGCATGTAAATTTACCTTTTCATTGTACTTTTACTACTTCTTCTTTAAGTTTTTTAATTCTCGTGAAATTTTAAACAAAAACACTCAAAATTAAGGAGAGTGCTCACGTTAATTTGCCACATAAACGTAATTTGTTTATCTTATAGCATTCTTGTAAACAACTGAAAGTATATGAATAAAAAGTAATTTCTACGATGCAAGTGAGATACAGCTGAAACGGAATGGAGAATCGGAGACATCCATTTCTTAATGACGTCAAAATCGAAAGAATTGTAAATACGGAGTACGAGTAACAAAGAAGAAGGGTTGAGATAAGTAGCAATATTGTTCACGTTAATAATTGCTAAAACCACTTGAAAATGCTCATTAGTCATTATCTATTTATTTGTACAAAACATTCAAATACGAAATAGTTGGTTTTTACATGAGGAGGCCCAAGGCCATTAGTTGTTCAATTAAGGCATCTTATAGGCCACTCCATAATTAAGAATTACTTGTTTTATGCACTTACTGCGTGCCAAATTGGCTCTTTCCATTTCCAAATGATAAAGATAGATGTTGGCCAAATTGGGCAAGTAGTGCAAAAAAATAAGATATTTAATTGTGATTTGTGACTACATATATTGCCACCAGTTGCTTGGACGCAATTGCTATCCATTGTTTTGCTATCAAGTCCAATGGAAAAATTTGTCAAATACAACTATCAAAAATATCCATTTTATGGGTTTTAGTCTTTTTAGTTTATGTTTGCAAAACACAACCTAAAAATACACCCAACTTTAAAACTAAATTTTGTCAAACACTTTAAAATAAACTATAACTTTAATAATTTTCCCTAGCATTTACTCATCGATAGCAACACATGTACTGTCGCTAAAGCTGTTAATTCGGGTAAACGGGTCGGATTTTGGTCAGGTAAGAATGGGTCGGGTCAATTCGGGTTAATGTCGTACGCTATGCGGGTCGGGTTCGGGTTGGGTCATGCTTGTGTCGGGTCACATCGGGTCATACATCTTGTCGGGTTCGGGTCGGGTCATGCTTGTGTCGGTCACATCGGATCATACATCTTATCGGGTTTGGGTCGGGTTATATTTGGGTCGGGTGAACAATATGTCGGGTTTAATTTGGGTTAAAACGGGTTAGGGTAATTCTCGGGTTTGAGTTGAGTTCGGTTCAAGTTAATAATTTGCGGGTTAGAATCAGGTTGAGTCATTCTCGGGTTAGAGTCGAATTCGGTTCAAATCAATAATTTGCGGGTTATAATCAGGTCGAGTCATTTTCAAATCGGGTCATTCTCGAGTTCATGTCGGGTTCAGTTCAAGTCAATAATTTGCGGGTTATAATCAGATTGGGTCATTTCCAAGTCGGGTCATTCTCGAGTTCAAGTCAATAATTTGTGGGTTACAATCAGGTTGGGTCATATTCGGGTTCAACTAACTATAAATAGATAATTATCATTTTTATCAAGCTAATTATTTCCTTTGACTATAATATATATGGCAACATACTAGGGAACTATAGTCTATAATTTAGGAAGATAATTATCTCCTTTGACCATACAACAAATATATACTGTATTTAACTCTTAAATTTGGAGATGATGCTCCTTTCTTTTGCTGGCTTGGACCGACTTGGTCTCCCTAGAAAAAATGCTTTGATCAAAAATAATAAGGTGGTTTAAATTGAATTTAAGGTGATTTGAAATCGGGTTAGGAACAATTTAGGTTGAATTTAGGTCGGATCAATAGCAAGTTGTGTTAAATTCGAGTCGGGTTAGTAACAGATCGGGTTGAATTTTTGGGTCGGGCTAGTAATAGGTCAGGTAAAATTCGGTCGGGTCAATAACAAGTCGGGTTGAATTTGGGTCGGGTCAATAACAAGTCGGGTTGATTTCGGGTAGGGTTTGTAATAGGCCAGGTCGTGTTAAATTCGGATTGGGTTAGGAACGGGTCAGGTTGAATTCAGGTTGGGTTAATAACAAGTCGGGTTAAATTCGGGTTTTGAGGGGTTAAATCGGGTTTGGGTCAATTTCGGTTCAAGTCGGGTTCGGTTCAGGTCGGGTTCGGTTCAGGTCAATAATTTACAAGTTACATTCAGGTCAAGTCATCTCCAGGTTAGTTCATGTTCGGGTTCGAGTCTCACATACTCAAGTCAACTCGGGTCTAGGGTTGGTTTCAGGTCGGGTTTGGGTCACCATTTTTTTGGGTTTAGATGGGTCGGTTAATAATCGGGTTTAGGTCGGTACTTCGGGTTGGGTCAGCTTTTGACAGCTCTAACTGTCGCAGTCAGTCAGCCACAACCCACATGCTCACATGGTTGCATCAAATATTAAATGACTATTAGCTACCACAACAAACTAAAATTACAAATTGAACATTGAGATACAAAGTCATAATATTTGGACATCAAAGTTTAATGTCTTTTCTCTTTTCATTAAAGTCTCCAACATATTTAAGCCTTTTAGTTTTCAATAAGGACGAATTTAAAAATCTTAATGTTAAAATTTTGCATCAACCTACACACTTGCGTCACCATTGCTCCAAATTGAAATAACTAAACAAAAGTTTTAGAATCTAAGGGTTCGTTTGGCATCGTTGTGGTTTTCTGTTTTTTGGTTTTCAAACTCATACGATATATGTTATATAATAAAACAAAAATTAGACAAACCCATTAAAATCATGATAATATTGAAAACTGACAACAGAAAAGTATAAACACCTTTTTCTTGTTTCCTTTTTTGGTTTTTTGTTTTCGAAAAAACAGAAAACTTA